GCCCCCCCCCGCCCAAAGGAGCCGCTACGTGGCTCCCCCCCGCCGCAGTGTTTTCTTCCGCGCGGGGCACAACGTGGCTGAGCTGGAGGCCTACTGTGCCGCGCTGGCCCAGCTGCGTGCCCTGCTCTGCCTGGCTCAGCGGCTGCTGGCCCACAACCGCCCCGGTTGCCTCTTCCCACTCGAGGAGGACGGCCTCAGCGAGCAGGTGCTGCGCGAGTACAGCACCATGCACAACAGCTGCTTTTACGGCCGCTGCCTTGGCTTCCAGGTGACGGGGACGCAAGGACGGGTCGACACGGGGACAGCGAGGCAGCTTTGCCTGGGGGTTTGGGTCTGGGGGACACGGGGACGTGGGGACAGGCTGGCACGGGGGCATGGGGACGAGCTGGCACAGGGCCTTGGGTTTGCGGTGGACAGGGATGTGGGGACACAGTGCCTCGGGGCCAGGGACACGCCGAGACGCGGCGTTGTGCCCACATGGCGCCCGGGGCTGCGGGCATACAGGGACACGGGTGGGTGCACAGGGCCAGGGTTACAGACACGCAGGGACGTGGGGGCACAGGGAGCGCGGCCGCCTGCGCGCGGGGCTGGGGCTCACGGACGCGCGGGGACGGGGGGGGTTCCTGCAGCGCTGGGCTTAGACGGCCAGCCCGCAGGGACACGGGGACATGCCATGCCAGGCGGTGACACGCGGTGCTGTCCCCGCAGTTTGCTCCCTCTATCCGCCCCTTCCTGCAGACCATCGCCATCGGCCTCGTCTCCTTTGGGGAGAACTACAAGCGCAACGACATGGGGCTGGGTGAGTGCCGGGGGGCCAGGGGGGCCGGGGGGGTCCCGGGTGCCAGCCCTCCCTGTCACCCCCCTGTCCCCCCCAGGGGTGGCGGCCGGGTCCCTCTTCACCAGCGGGAAGTTCGCCATCGACCCCGAGCTGCGGGGGGACGAGTTCGAGCGCCTGACGCAGAACCTGGACGTGCATTTCTGGAAGAGCTTCTGGAACCTGACCGAGACCGAGCTGCTGGCGGTGAGCGGGGCTGCGGGGACCCCTCCCTGGGACCCCCAAACCCCCCCGGCGCAGCGCTGGGGGTCCCGCTGCGGGGGCTGTCTGCCGGGGGGCCTGGGGGGATCGAGCTCCCTGACCCCCCTTCCCGCAGTCCGTGGCCAGCATGACGGCCACGCAGGTGGGGGTCTGCCGGGCGCTGACGATGCCCCCCGAGCCCCTGGAGCCGCCGCTGGCGGCCGGCCCCCCGCGCACCGTCA